ATAACCTTGAAAATTCATATGGTGGGAAATTCAAAATTCCACCAAATTCTCTCCAAAGTTCACAAAAAAGGGGGGAACTTAAACTTCCATGTTTTGAATTTGAATGGGAATTCAAATGCAAATCTCGTGGGGGTTTAAGTTCCCACCTTTTGAATGCCATATGACCTTGGTAATTTGCTTTGACAAATAGATTGTGGTAAGACTGACATCATGCCATTTCTAGGCTTAGACCTTAAGAGACCTTGAATGCTTCCACTTATTCTCTTGGAACCCTGCTACCAACAGATGATGAAAGACTTATGTTGTACTCACCCCATTCGACAGCTAGCCAATCATCAGACATGTGTAAGGCCATTGTAGAACAACAAATCCCTTAGTCTTGGCTAGGTTTTCTCATAGGTCTGGGTTAGCTGTTGTGGATACTCATATCTTACTTTAACAGATGGTCATTTAATACCTCTGTATTGTTATAATTCCTCTAAGAGGATATAAGAAATCCTGTAGAAGATGTGACATTAATAGACTTTCATAGAGTTTTCTGTAACTCTTTATGTCTCTTGAGGAAGAATCTTTAATAGAAAAAAAGTATTTGTCTCTATATTTTTGTGGTTGAAGATGTGACCTAAACTAGCTACAATGAGGAAAGAACATGTTACTTGACTACTTGATTGAGATATGGTATTTCTTTTAAAAAAGAAAAATGCAATTCTTATTGATACTGTCTTACTGGCATTGTGTACAGTTTGATAGCATTCAGTATTGACTCTTTAGTATCACAGTTCTTGAAAAAGCTTTGATTCCTGTTTTAAAACTACCTATATCTTGAGTGATTTTGAAAGCAAGTGCCAAGAAAAGATGTTCTATTGATGTGTACATGACAGGTGAAATATCACAACTTTCAGAAGACTTCTCTGGTGAATTTAATTCCAAAGATAACCAGAGTGGAGGTGGAAGTAAAAGATGCGATTTGTCATGTTATTATAAGTGCATAACAAAGGCATGATGTAAGATCTCGTTTATTAGATGGTTTTCCCCAGGATTAACAAAGCTTAGGGATTATGCAAGCAAAAATAAAATATATATAGTCCAAGATAAACAAGCCATATTGAAATTGATGTGTATGACATTAAATATTGTTAAATTTTTCGTGAAATTCTCATTTTCAATATTTTTAACACACATTATTTTAATTGTATGTGTGAAAAAGATAAACATTTATCAAAATCATCAATGATGTAAAATCTCTCATAGGATTTAAAATAATCTAGCCATGTCAGATTAAACAAAACTATTCTGTACCTCTATATCTGGTCAATTCAGAATTTAACCAATAGGACCCAGGGTATTTTTAGTTTAAATAATATCCTTTTATATTTAAATCATTGATATGAATCTAATGGCAGCTTGTTGAAACATGGACTTAATGCTTGACTTTCACAGACAAGTAACACATTTTTTACTGTAGAATTTTATCTGAACAATACAAGATCAATCCTCATATATAAGGTATAAATAAATCAAGGGATTGTATTATATACTTATAACACATATTCGTATATTAAAATTTTATGACGTTCAAAAGATTTTATTTTCTTAAAGATTATTTTTAGAGCAGTTTCAGGTTCCCAACAAAGTTGAGAAGAAGGAACAGGGATTTCTTTTATACCCCTGACCCTTACATATGCATAGCCTCTCGCATCATCAACATCCCCCACCAAAGTGATTCTTTTGTTACAATGGATGAGCTTATTGTGTTGACACATCATTATCACCTAAAGTCCATAGTTTTCACTAGAATTCACTCTTGGTATGTTATACATTCTATGGATTTGGACAAATATGTTAACCATTACAGTATCATATGTATTTTCTCTGCCTTAAAAATCATCTGTACTTCTAATCATTTTTTCATCTGCCTAACCCCTAGCAAACACTGATATTTTCCTGTCTCTACAGGTGTGCCTTTTCCAGAATTGTTGGAATCATGCAGTATGTAGCCTATTCACATTGGCTTCTGTAACTTATTGATACGCATTTCAGTTTCCTCCAGGACTTTATATGACTTGAGAGCTGATTTCTGTTTAGTACCCAATAATATTCCATTGTCTGGATGTACCACAGTTTATCCATTCACCTACTGAAAGACATCTTGATTGCGTCTGAGGTTTTGCAATTATGAATAAAGGTGCTATAAACATTCATGGGCAGGTTTTTATGTTGAAATACAGTTTCACCTTCTTTGGGTAAATTCTAAGGAGTGTGACTACTGAGTTATATGGTAAGAGCATGTTCAGTTGTTTTTTTTTTTTTTTTTTTTTTTCCACAAAAAACTGCCAAACTGTCTTTTAGTGTAGCTGTACTATTTTGCATTCCAACCTATAATGAAGAAAAGTCTCTGTTGCTTCATATCCTTGCCAGCATTTAGTGTTGTCAGTGTTCTAAATTTTGGCTATCTAATAGGTGTGTAGTGATATCTCGTTGTTAAGATTTCATTTTTAGTTCATAAAAATCATACAGCATTGGAAGGAATGTTAGAAAACATCTGGTTAAAATCACCACTTAATGTATGAACTTATTCTGCAATATTTCATTTTAAACAATCATCTCATCCAGAATCCATTTAAGACCATTGTGGAATGCTTCTTGTCGTGCGATGCAGAAAAGCTGTATGCTACCAAACATCAGAGAGCCCCAGGGCTCAGTCATCTTTTGGACATCTTTTCTTTGTACACTCACTGCCTTGGAGATCTCGTCCAGTATAATGGCTTTAAATACCATTTTTATGCCGACAATTCCTGAATTTTCATCACCAGCCTGGACTTCTCCTCTGAACTCCAGACTCATGTATCAATCTGCTTAGTTGATGTCTTCACTTTTTGTCATTTATGGGTATGTCACACTTAGCAACCCCAAACAAATTCCTTACTTCTTCTCTCACACTTGACCCTTCACATTCTTCCTCAGTAGTAATTTCATCCTTTCAGATACTCGGGCTATAACCTCATTCCTCTTAACTCTTCTTTTTCATACACTCTAATCTATCAGCAAATTCTTTCAACTCTTCCTTAAAAAGAAGAGTTGAATGGGCCAAAATTGGTCTACTTCTCACCACACCTGCTGTATCTTGGTTCAATGCCCCTTATCTCTCATCTGTTTTATTTCAATAATGTTCTTCCTGTTTGCTCTGCTCCCTCCCTTGCTCTCTTTAACTGTTTTATTCTGAATATGGCAGCCAGTGTGATTCCTTAACTTACCAATTGTATCTTTTTCTCTATTCAGCCTTATCTCTCTCAGAATAAAATCCAAAGTCCCTACAGTTGCTCACAAGGTCCTCATGCATAAACATCTAGCTCCCCAATGCCTCTTAGTATATCTCTGAGTGTTTTCCCCTTGTTTGCTCAACTCCAGGGCACAAGGCTCTTCTGTTACATCAGACACACTCCATCCCACATCAGTGCCTTGCACTAGCTCTTCCCTTTGCCTGGAATGCTTTCCACACAGCTACCTCATGGTTCATTCCCGCTCCTGTCCCTGCCCCAGTCAGCTCCTTCAGGTCTTTTCTCAAACACCACTGCTTAGTAAGACCTTCTCTGGCCACCTGTTTAAACTTGCAACCTACTTCTTAGCTCTTTTCACCATCGATTTATTATATATATGTAAATAATTTCTTAATGTCTGTCTCCCTTCATTTCAAGTGTCAGCTCCATGAGGAGAGAGTTTTGTCCTTTTTGTTCACTATTATATGCTGCGTGCCTAGAAAAGTGCCCTGCGTTATATACACCATAGAATACTATCCAGCCATAAAAAAGAATGAGTTCACGTCCTTTGCAGGGATATGGAAGAAGCTGGAAACCATCATTCTCAGCAAACTAACAGGAACAGAAAACGAAACACCGCTTATTCTCACTGATAATTAGGAGTTGAACAATGAAAACATATGGACACAGGGAAAGCAACATCACACACTGGGGCCTGTCAGGGGGTGGGGGTCAAGGGGAGGGAGAGCATTAGGACAAATACCTAATTCATGCAGGGCTTAAAACCTAGATGACGGGTTGATAAATGCAGCAAACCACCATGGCACATGTATACCTATGTAACAAACCTGCATGTTCTGCACGTGTATCCCAGAACTTAAAGGAAATTAAAAAATTAAAATTAAAAAGTGCCCTGCCTAATAAGAATTGATTGACAGAATGAATTATTTTTCATACATTTTAAATATTAGGGAACTCTGTACTTGTAGGGTTTTTTTCTTAACTGTGTATTTTAAAGGAGAGAAAGCAATCAATTTCTTTGTTTTTAATTTGAGTTTTCTATATTTAACAGATTCACCTTTTTATTTTTTCCCTCAGTGAACTCGTTTATTAAAAAGAAATCTGTCACTAGCCAAAATCTGTCTACCCTTTAGCTACTCAGCAATATTGGTGCATAATCATGGGTTCTTGGTATGCTTCCAACTTTGGTTTGACCTTTATAGATTAGTTCTGAATTAGGGACCACTGCTGGGTGAGAAGGTGTAGGATGAAGACAGATATTCCAACACAATCTGTAATAATTAGAAGGATGAAGACAACAAGGAAGGGAGATTATTTTCAGTGCTTCAGGCCTCATTTTTATAACTGCTGACACAAGGCTGCTATTAAAATAGTCACATTTCCTCAAATATTGGACTTTCAGATGCAAACGGAGCAGTCAAATAGTTCTGTGAACATGACCTAATTTTAAGAGCTAGGTGTTATATGTGCTTTCAATCTGAGTCTGCAAACCTTTAGACCTCTGATTCTTTCAGCCCTAAGCTGATAGTATTATTGTCTAAAACTTAGCACTTTTCTCTGTAAACTTCGTCATTTTGCATTTTGTAAAATCCTTTATACGTACTTATATAGAGCTTGGAGTTTTACTATCCTAGGGAGGAGGAGTGGAAGGCAATTCAAAAAAAAAAAAAAGTTCTATATTCAAAGCACGTTTAAAAAATACTGCTGAAAAGGGGAAAAATCACCATTGTTCTGTTGGCTTAACGTGTTGGAAGTATCTCAAAGAAGTACAATTGAATTAATTATATTTTCATCTTTTTGTACCCATTCAAGTCTGAGAAAATACACTTCACTGTAGTTTTACCTTCTTCTGGCTTACATGAGAAACTGCAAGATTATCAAGATGTCTTAGACATTTCTATTGGGATAACATGACATCCTTACTAAGAACTTCTGTGGGTCTGATGTTCTTCCTCCTAGAAAATCATATGAAAGATACTTCAGAAGTGCCAGGTACCCACTTTTATCTTATTTTTTAATTCTGATTTTTAAAGACATTTTACTACTTAAAGTGACATTTTAAAAGTGTATTAAACATAAATTTGACTCTGACTTCACAAATTAGTCAATATTTCTAAGAACACCTAATTAAACGGGTTGTGTCTTACCAGGATGCATAGATGTAACCAACCCAAGCCAGCCCTTTTGACAATTTGCAATGTCAAAGCAAAATGGAACTCTCGTCTTATACTTACATTAGTACATAGGTGGTCTTTCTTGCTCACCTTTTTCCCCTTTTTAAAAAACCATAGCGTAAGTGAGCAAAACATCTTAAATACTGCATATTAGACACATACACTTCTGTTTATCTTTGCCCCGTCCTATGAATCTTCATTTTGATTATTTGAGCAGTATTGCTATGTTGCACTATTGGCTTTATTCAGCTAATGCCAGTACTCCTTTATTGGACTATGATCTTAAAACTACTGTGTGCTTATGTGTACTAAAGGTAGTTACTGTCTGCAAACAAGGAATACATTCGACAGGACTGATTAATTAGGATGATTTTCTGTTTTTGTGGTGATTTGAAATCTTTTGTTAATTTTAGCTTTGCTAATTTTAGCTGAATTTTCTGTAGTAATTTTTATTTATCTGTAAGTATTTGATTTCTGCAAATTGGAGGTAAAACTACTCATGTTTGTTTACCCAATTAGAGCTCAGATTTTTATTAAAATAGTGTAGTTAATGCTTATAAAAGCATAATGACTGACTGAATGCATTGCAATGTTCATGAAAATGCCCTTTCACATTTCCTACTGCTAGAAACACAACTGACTACTGGCTCCAGATGCTGCTTTCTGGATCCATCACAGCTGTGGTGTTAGGAGCTGCTTCTAGTCAGTGATAGAGTACAGCAGGGGTGCTAAAACGGGCCCGTTCCTGAGAGATGTGGGACTTCACTGATGGCAATGTGGGCTCAAGATTCCACATCCACTTGGCTGAGACTTTCTTACACTGTACTACAGTGTAAGGCTTGTTTTCCTTCCTCTCTCCCCTCCCCCTGTTCTTCAAGGAGGTTAGACCTACATTGAGGTGAGATCAGTCTCTTCTCTTAGCCTCCTCTGGCTTCCTCCTTTCATAGGTTTTCTTTCATAGGTGTTTCTCTCTGACCTTGCCTCTAACAACTCTTGGGTTTGTCTAATCTTACCTTTGTGTCTGCTTCTCTAGGAGGAGAACCTGGATTACCACATGCAAAAAAGATGCTTTTGTCCAAATAATTACATGTTTGAGCCCTTTATTCATATTTGGTCACAAATTTTAAAGCCTGATCTATAGTCTTAAACTTGTATAACCCTACAGTTTTTTTTTTTTTTTTTAAAGGAAGCTGTTAAATAAGTCTGAATATTCTCTTCATTTATGCTGTTGAACCTAGTATTCACTTCCCTTCAATTTGAACTCCGCCAACCAGCACAGAAAAGTATAGTCTCTTCTGCATCTGCCAGTCAAAGGTAGTTTGTTTACCCCATTTGGCAAATCAAGACAACTTGATGACTCTATACAAGGTCCCCTACAATGTTGATGTGTCAGAAAACACTTTCACAGGCTACTAGATCCTATTATGCAATTTTGTAACAGAGGCTTAGGCTGGAGTTAAGGACTCACACTTGCCTCAGAAGACTTGACACCCTGCTATTTATAATGAGTGGTGCTTTGTTTTGTTGTGCCTGTTATTCAGGATCAAGGCAATGAGACATTTACCACCCCACCGTATATCATGTTGGCATATATCCTTGTGAAGGTTTGTAGGAGGCAGTAGTTATTAACTCCTTAACTGCATACATATTTTGTAAAAATAGAAATTTTACTGGTGGATAGCCTCCCAGAGCTGTTACAGTGATGCATTAATAATCATTTCTAACACATGGATACCAATACAAATTATTTTGGAGCTTTGGCAGTTAAGTAGTACCTAAACCTTGGTGAAAATTCCTTTCTCATGAAAGCATTATAGGCATACTGACAGCTTGCTCCATACATTCACAATTAATATTCCAATTTTATTAAAAACATCTGAGAATGCTGATTTAATAATGTCAACTTTAAATCTGGGGAATCTCTGAGCATGAAATGGTACAGTAGTTACTGTTGAAGGAGCAGCTGAAGGTCAGCCTCAGAGGTGCATTAATTCTTCCAACATTAACTCTTGTAAAAATGACACTTTACTGTTATTAAGTAGAGGTTCTTAAAAGGCCCATTAACTCTGGTGGCTACAAAGTGGCACATCAATTATAAATTTGTTTTATGTAAATGGCACCCCCAAATGACACCATCAACATATTGCTTTGTACCTAGGATCAAAATAGTCAAAGCCGTTGTTTGAAAATGCATTTGCTTGATTTCTCAGACAGAATCTGGGGATAGCTGAGCAGTCATAGCTCATGCATTGAAGACAAATTGCCTCAGTGAAATTTCTATTACGGTTTAAGAAAATTATCTTCCTGAATTCGACACACTGAGGTGGCTGGGAATGTCGTTATCCAGCAACAGCTGCTTCAAATGGCAATGGGAGATCTGTGGTAACTTTGTTCTACTCAGTTGTTACACATGACCTTTGGAATTGCCACAGATACCTTATAGCAGAGAACAGGACCACACAAAAGGATTTTCAGTGAAGCATTAAGTAAAATTTGAAATGAAGCTAAATTTAAGAAGTGAATGATAGTAGACCTTTTGCAAAGAAAACCCAGAGATTTAAAAACAGACAATATCATGACAATTTATAAAAATGAAGCTATTAAAACAATGTGATGTATAGTCTTCACAATTGCTTAAAATATTTTATCCCCAGGACAACCCAATCCATAACTGTTTTTTTTTTCCTTAATGTTAGATGCTGATATCTGCAATGCAGTGACTTAAATTGGAAGATTATAACAAATTTCTGTATTTTATGGTATACTGTCTATTGTCTCACAGCAGCTTTGATTCACTTCCATATTAACCTTGATAATTTGCTTCTTTCAACATTCAGGATCAAAACTACTTAATATGATTAAGTTGGCAAAGCCTGCATTTTGGCATTTTACCCCACTCTACATTTTCTTGATACTGCTTTTTCTATCCTCTTAATTTTTACATATGAACATAACTCATGTGCATCAATGTAAGCCAGTGTGTTATTTGCCAAGAGATATTCTGCATGAGGTCTCAAATAAGATATTGAAAGAATGAAAGGCATTTTCTTGTTGGACTTGCAGTCATCAAAATCAACAGACGGGGTAAATTACGGCCAAAGCTTCCCAGGGCAATGGTTAAGCATGCAGAATTGGTGCCTGAATGCTTGCCTTCAGATATTGGCTGTATGATTTGGGGCAAGTTCCTTAATCTCTTTGTGCTTTCATTTTTTTTTTACTTGTAAAAAGTGATGTATAAATAGCATTTAGCACAATCCATCTAGTACACTGAGAACTCTTTATTATTATAGGCTTCTGAATATCCTGATATAGTTAGACATAAATGCACATCAATCATAAAACAGTGCTTGAAACATAGGAAGTGCTCAATAAATAACTGCTACCACTAAAAATAGAGGCAGGGGATTGATCTAGATTTTCTAAATCCTTGAAGTTCTAACAGTTTTGTATAGGGTGAGGTGGAATGAGCAGGGCAGTTTGGAAAAGAGAAAACAAAATTATGAATGCAGAATGTCTACAGCAATTTCAATACAATTGCATAAAATAAATAAATTATAAATATAAATGCCTGCAGTTTCCATGGGGAAAACTCAGGCTAGTGAAGTAGCCCTAAAATTTACGTGTCATTGGCGTCCCAATAAATATACCCTAGAAAAGGAATTTTTCCAACTCCATTGAAGTTATCTACCTCTCTTATGAATTAAGTGTAGACACATTGGGAGGATCAGAGCCAAGGTTAATAAGCAAAGATGTAGGACCAAGCTTTTATACCTTTTTATCCTGCTCCCCATCACGACCCCTTCAGCACACGCACACACACATACACTCATGCTTCTAACAAAAATATGTTGTTACAGTATAGATTCTCAGTAAAGATTTGTTAAATAAAGACAGCCATAATGAATGTTTGTTAGCCTATATTAGTGCAATGAAATAAGGTAGGGCTACTTTATAACCAAAATGAGGAAAATAAAGAGTAACAGAAAAATAATGCCAAATCAAATATGATTTATTTGTTTATCCAGGAATCATTTATCAACTACCTACAGATATACAGATTATTAAGATAGGGTAGCTGGCTTCAGGAAGTTTATAACTTAGAAGGAATTATAAGATGTATAAAAGTTCAAATGTGGTTAAGGACTGTCATAGAAACTCTGTAAGATGAGAATGTTTAATTTTACTGACTGTGGTTATGAGGAAAGTTTTAAAGAGAAGGTACAATTTGATAATATCATAGTGAGGTTTTCATTGAGTACATAATAGAAGGGCATGAACAGAAGATATAGAAATATGAAACATAGAGGAACACTCAGAGAACTCTAAATATTTTGAAATAAGTAAATCATTGGGCTTTCCCAGAAGTATTGCAAGAGATGCAGTCAGACCAGAGTCTGATTATACACCTTACTAAGGAGTACTGATTTTCTAGATTGAGTGGTGTGAAACCAGAAACATAAAGGCAATTTAATTGGATGTGCATCTTGGGAAGATCACACTAGGAATATAGAGATGAGGACTAGAGGAAAAAAGACAAATTGAGAAAACACCATCATGTCAGGTGAGAGAAACTGAGTAGTAGCAATGGAAATGGGGGATGAGGAATGCATAAAAAAGAGGAAGAATAAACAGGATTTGATCATCAATTAGATTTCAGGATGGAGAGAAAGGAATCTAAGATACCCCTAAGTTTTCTGGTTTAGGGAATATAGATGTGAAATTTAGGTTTGATTATGCTATATTTAAGGAACGTGTGGGATGTCTAGGCATAGATATCAGAGTTGGAGGGGGTATGGCTACAAATAAATATTTCAGCAAATAATTTGTAGGTAAAACCATTGGAATGCATGTGATGACACACCAATAATGTGTGGAGTGGGAAGAGGCCAAATGCAGAATCCTAGGAATCCAATTTAAAGAGCAGGAACAATTGGGGCAGGGGGAAGGGAGAGAAAGAGAGAAATAGAATTGTTAGGAAAGTAAAACAAAACTCAGGATAAGACAGCCGTATTATGGAAATCAAAGATAGAGTTGTGCTACGGAGAGATTAAATAAAATGAGGTCATCAGTGAGCTTGACAAGACCAGTTCCCGGGAACAGAATGCACACAAATCTGATGATTATTCTTGAAGAGGGACAGACAGGAGGAACTGGTAAATGGTTCTATCAAGCAAATGAATGAAGTTGTCTCAGATCCTCTTATCTTGTAGTGTTGTGCGTAGCATATTTGACATGCACGGTGTATCTTTTTTTTTTTTTTTTTTTTTTTTTTTTTTTTTTTAAGACAGGGTCTCACTCTGCCACCCAGGCTAGAGTACAGTGGCACGATCTTGGCTCACTGCAACCTCCACCTCCGTCTTATCCTCCCAAGTTGCTGGGATTACAGGTATGCACCATCATGCCTGGCTAGTTTTTGTATTTTTACTAGAGACAGAGTTTTGCCATATTGGCTAGTCTGGTCTCAAACTCCTGACCTCAAGTGATCCACCTGCCTCAGCCTCCCAAAGTGCCAGGATTACAGGCGCGAGCCACTGTGCCCTGCCCAGTGTATTATTTTTAATTACTTCCTTCCTCTCTGCAATGTTAGTTTTGGTAATAATGATAAAACAAGTGCTAATAGTGGCCAGAAAAGAAAAAAATGATCATATAATCATTCCAAGAAAATAAATTGTGAATAAATTAAATATTACAGTACAACAAAGAAGGCAGAAGTAATAGAATAATGCCTTTTATTTTTCCTTTAAATTTATTTTTAATTTCTGTGGGTACATAATAGATTAATATATTTATGGGGTACATGAGATGTTGGAATAATACATGTTTCATTAATATGTTTTCTTAATAAAGACACAAACCTTATACCCACTTATTGATCTGTTACAGTCATTTCTAGTTATTTCTAGTTTCAATTTTATTATAGTTCATTATAATGCATTTACTTCTAGTGCACTATAGTTCCTAGTGTAGAGCCTTAACTCCTACAAAGTTGCCAATGACTTTGACTGGAGAGCCCTTTTTATTAAGTTAGATTTTGAAAAGCTTCTTTCACCTGAGTAAGCAGATATACAAATAGTAAAAGCCTTAATTATAAGGTAAGATTGGAAGAGATTTAAAAAAATCCTACTCTGCAATAAATTCTGGAAGTTGCAATACAGTCCATATATTTGTTTCTATGGGATAAATTCTAGGGGTTTTCAAATGTCTCTATTTCAAAAAAATAACACAAAATCTCCAAGTGGTCACATAAATTTGTTAGCAGTGAAGGAACTCAAGTTCTGCTTCTTGGTCTTCATAAACATAGTAAGATTGTTCATTTTAAATCTACCTTTAAAAGCGAAATTATGTAATATCCATGGTTTGGAGACAGCAGCTGCATCCAAAGAGACCTTTAATGACTTTGACTGTGAGACATTAGGAACTCCTCTTGAAATAAACCTATGTAGGCAAACCTGTGTTTGGGTTAGAATATGTAACAGAGTCTTCCAGATAAACTTTCAGGTAGAATTCAATGTTTACTCAAGGATAGGTCATAGAAATGAGTTGATTTGAAACTTATACAAATGTTACTAAAACTCAACGGGAACCACAGCAGTTGCTTAAAACTTGGAAAAAAAGTTTTTTCAAGAGGGATATTTTAACACAGATACACTTTGTTTTGTTGTGCTCTGCTTTATTGTACTTTGCAGACACTGTATTTTTAACAAATTGAAGGTTTGGCAATCCTGTTATACATTGTCAATTGATGCCAGTTTTTAAACAGCATTTGCTCACTTTGTGTCACATTTTGTTAACTCTTACAGTATTTCATACTTTTTCATTAATTTTATGTCTTTAATGGTTATCTGTGATCAGTAATCTTTGATGTTATTATTGAAATTATTTTGGGGCACCACAAACTGTGCCCACATAGGAACTTAATAAATGTGTGTGTTCTGAGTACTCTACCGACTAACCACTCCCCAATCTTTCTCCCTCTTCTTGAGCCTCCCTCATCCCTGAGACACAATAATACTGGAATTAAGCCAACGAATAATCCCACAACGTCCTCTATGTGTTCAAGTGAAAGAAATAGTAACAGGTCTCTCACTTTAAATCAAAAGCTAGAAATGATTAAGCTTAGTGAAGAAGGCATGGTGAAAGCTGAGATATGGTGAAATCTAGGCCTCTTTTGCCAAACAGTTAGCCAAGTTGTGAATGCAAAAGGAAAGTGCTCAGAAGAAATTAAAAGTGCTACTCCAGTGAACACACAGATGTTAAGAAAGCAAAACAGCCTTATTGATGATATGGAGAGAACTTGAATGTTCTGGATAGAACATCAAACCAGCTACAACATTCCCTTAAGCCAAAGCCTAATCCAGAGTAAAATCCTAACTCTGCAATTCTATGAAGTGAGGAAGCTGCAGAAGAAAAGTATAAAGGTAGCAGATGTTAGTTCATGAGGTTTAAGGAAAAAAGCTGTCTTTATAACAAAAATGTGAGGTGAAGCAGCAAAAGCTGTTGTAGAAGCTGCAGCAAGTTATCCAGATCTAGGTAAAATTATTGATGAAAGTGGCTACACTAAACAATAGATTTTTGGTGTGTACAAAGCAGCCCTCTATTGGAAGAATATGCCCTGTAGAACTTTCATAGCTAGAGAGGAGAAGTCAGTGCCTGGCTTCAAAACTTCAAAGGGCAGGCTGCCTTTCTGGTCAGGTGCTAATGCAGCTGGTGATTTTAAGTGGAAGCAAATGGTCATTTACCATTCTGAAAGTCCTAGGACCTTTAAGAATTATGCTAAATCTGTTCTGCTCATGCTCTATACATAGAAGAACAAAGCCTAGATGACAGCACATCTGTTTACAGTATGGCTTGCTAAGTATTTTACATCCATTTTTGAGAACTATTGCTCAGAAAAAGAGACTTCTTTCAAAATATTACTGCTTATTGACAATGTACCTGGTCACTCAAGTGCTCCCATGGTGATGTACAAGGAGAATTATATTGTTTTCATGCTTACTAACACAATATCCATTCTGCAGCCCATGGATAAAGGAGTTATTTTTCAAGTGTTGTTATTTAAGAAATACATTTCATAAGGCTAGAGCTGCTATAGATAGTTATTCCTGTGATGGATCTAAGCAAAGTAAACTGAAAACCTTCTAGAAAGGATTTACCATTCTAGATGCCATTAAAAACATCTGTGATTCATGAGAGGAGGTCAAAATACTCACATTATCAGGAGTTTGGAAGAAATTGATTCCAACTTTTGCAGATGATTTTGAAGTCTTAAAACTCAGTGGATTAAGTAACTGTAGATGTGTTGAAAATAGCCAAAGATCTAGAATGAGAATTGAAGCCTGAAGATATGACTGAATTGTTGCAATATCATGGTAAAATTTTAACAAATAAGGAGTCATCTCTTACGGATGAGCAATGAAAGTGGTTTCTTATGACAAAATCTATTCCTGATGAGGACGCTATAAACATTGTTGAAATGACAACAAAAGATTCAGAATATTACATAGACTTACTTGATTAGGCAGTGACAGAGTTGTAGAGGATTGACTCCAAATTTTAAAGAAGTTCTATGGATAAAATCTTATCAAACAGCATTTTATGCTGCAGAAAAATCCTTCATAAAAGGAGACTTCATTGTTGTCTTATTTTAAGAAATTCCCAATCACCCCAACATTCAGTAACCACCACCATAATCAGTCAGCAGCCACCAACATTGAGGCAAGACCCTCCACCAGCAAAAAGATTAAGATTTGTGGAAGGCTCAGATGATCATTAACATTTTTAGCAAAAAAAAAAAAAAAGGTGCTTTTAAAATTAAGTAATATACATTGTTTTCAGACACAGTGTTATTGCACCCTTAATAGACTACAATATAGCATACACATGACATTTATACGCACTGAGGAACCAAAAAAATCTGTGCAACTTTGAGATATTTGTTTTATTGCACTGGTCTGGAACTGAATCTGCAATATCTCCAAGGTATGCTTGTATTATTTAGAACTGCCAGCTCATGGTGATAAAAGAAAGCAGATTGACTTGAAGTGAATTTTATTATTATTTTTAAAAATTATCTGCAGAAAAAATATTTTTTTTATTATCTCCTCCCTATGCCTGGTCTTTGGAACTGTACTGTATTGTTGTGGGGGAAAAAGCCTCTTTTTAAGTGATTAACATTCTTTTTCAAAGTTAAACTTTGATAACATTTAAATGATAAATATGTTAAGGATCACCTACTTCTTAAAATATTGAATGATTTCAAACATACATGTCCTCTTTACCAAGATTACTTACCCATGTTTTCAAATTCTTCTAGAAAAACAGTGAATCATTCTGTAAAGGGTAGACAGTGTACTTTATAGATTAGGTTTTATTTCATATGCCATTTATAGTACACAGAAAGCTATTTTTAACCATACAGCAAAAGTTAAGCATACGTGCAGGTATAATATGCAATGATGGTCTCCTACAAAAAAGATTTTTGCTTTTTAAAAGATATTTTTCAGAATCTCTCCTTACCTAGTGTTTATCTTTGTTTACTTAAGATAATTGTTGTAATATAACTTTGACATAGATTATGGTATCTGTATTTTTAAATCTTTTAATTTTTTCATTGAGTACCACTCTATGGAACAATTATTATTGATATACAGTAATATATAGTTAAATAATATTGACATACAAAATTATTGATATACAGCAATATTTATTAATATTGTATATTAATTATATATTGATATACAATGATGATCTCTTACAAAAAAGACCTGAGTCATTTAAAAGATATATTTCAAAATCTCTGCTTGCTTAATATCCATCTTTGTTTACTTAAGATCATTGTTATAATATAAATTTGAAATAAGTTATGGTATTTTTGTTTTTAAATCATTTAATTAAATCATTTTCCATTGAGGGTACCACTCATGTCATATTATTAATATTTGTGTGTGTTTCTTTTAAAGAATTATCCAGAAGCAGACTTCATTGTTGTCTTATTTTAAGAAATTGCTGATACTAGCTAGCTACTTACATAAATTGCTTTGACTAAACTATAATTACCTTGTCGCTGTTTTCTAGTCAATTGTAGTACAGAAAAAACAATTCAAAGTATTAATATCAAGGCGAAAAGCATGGGCTCTCATAGGAGATTATCAAACTAAAATTCCATATGTGCTACTAATCAAGTTAATTAATTCCTATGCCTAATTCTCTTCATCTGTCAAAGGGGGCTAATACTACATAGCTTATTATTTTGTTTTGAGGGTTAAGAATAAAACACATGGAAAGTTCTTATAATAATATCTAGCATATTGTAAGCACTCAACATGTGTAAGTTATTTTAGGAGATAATATATAATGCTAATTATGTATTTTTTTTTTCTGAGTTGGAGTTTTTGCTCTTGTTGCCCAGGCTGGAGTGCAGTGGTGCAATCTGGGCTCACTGCAACGTCTGCCTACCAGGTTCAAGCAATTCTCCGGCCTCAGCTTCCGAGTAGCTGGGATTACAGGCATATGCCACCATGCCCACGCTATGTTTTTGTATTTTTAGTAGAGATGGGGTTTCACTATGTTGGCCAGGCTGGTCTTAAACTCCTGACCTCAGGTGATCTGCCTCCCTCGGCCTCCCAAAGTGTTGCGATTACAGGCATGAGCCACCGCACCATGCCTGGCCTATTTCCTTTTCTTTACTTGTGTTGTGAAGTGAGAAATGCCTCACATTTAGCCAAGTTGTCACTAGGATTTTACTAATCTAATAATTTTTCTGATTGAGAAAGGCATTCTGAAAGTGAAATCTAGATATACTTGAAGCCAATATCACTTTAAACATTTACATTAGCCACATTTTTTACAGTGTAAGAGACTATCATAATATATAAATTATTATATTTTACCGTTCCCTGTTGTAAACATTTATTTAATAAATCTATGTGTAAGTTTTTTTTCTCAATAATACTGCTGAGTAAATAGGTTTCATCCAAGCACAGTGTTAACTAGATAAGGAACCAACCCACCCTATTTTAACAGCAGCATTAATATTTTTCCTTAAGAAAACAAGACAGCCACTTATGGTATAACTAAGTAAGCTAAGAATGTCAAAAGGGTGCTCAATGTGTCTTTCTTCAACATAAAAAGTGACAACAATGGATCAGTCTGACTTTCACAAAAGGATCCCTAGGAGAGAATAGCATACTGATGATAGTAAGGTCAGGAAGCCTGTTTAGTTGTTTTATATTCTGTAGCTCTCTGACTGTCCCCGTAGTTACAAGCCAGCATG